AGGGAAGGGGTAATGTATAGGGAAGGGGGTAAACTAGGGAAGGGGTAATGTATAGGAAAGAGGGCAAGGCAGGGAAGGGACAGGGTAGTGGAAGGACAAGGGAGGGATGGTCTTCTTGAGAAGCAATATATATACGTCACAGGCAGGGAAGTTGCAGTTTTATCATGAGGGCTCACCAAGTTTTAGCCTTCTCTTCTCTTCTCTTCTCTTCTATTCCAGTCTATTCCATTCTATAACATTAAATTTTATTCTATTCTATTCTATTCTGTTTTATTCTGTTCTATTCTATTCTATTCTATTCTATTCTATTCTATTCTATACTATTCTATTCTATTCTATTCTATTGTAGCGACTGCGTGTGTGTGTGTGTACGTGACCGCGAGGAGACGTGTACCATTGTACCGACGCGCTGTCACGTCGTCGTCGCTGTTCGCCCGTGTTCGAGGTTTTATCTTGCGTACGTAGCGGGAGAGAGAGATTGAGAGACGCTCTCGTGAGCACTTACTCGCGTGATGTGCACCGCGCGCACGGAGACACGCGAGATCTATAGTCGGCAGAACATAGCCGACGCCTCCTTAGATCTGCGTCGGTGAGACGACGGACACCGCGATGACATCTACACAGGAAGCGCACCCGCTGCAACAATCGTGTGCGTCACGTGATCGCTCGTGGAAGCAGAAGACGTCGGGAGCCATTAGTGGCGCACTCTGGTGGTATCTATAATCTTATCACATCAGCGTCGGTTCGTCTGCGTATAACCGGATAGAGAGCTGAGAAGAGAAACCTTGATCACGATATCGTCGGCACCGCTACGGCGCCGCCTCCCATTCCTGTTGTCCACAGAAAAGCTTTCGGACGAAATCTTGTTCTCGACAGCGGATTTTTTCTCGGCGGGCGAGGGGGGGGGGTGCCGTGGATTCTACACGATATCTCTGAAGTGAACCTGCGACTGACGTTTGTTGTGTACCGCTGCGTGCGTGCGTGTGTGTGTGCGTGTGTGTGTGCGTGCGCGCGCGTGTGTGTACGTGCACGTATGCGTGTGCGTGCGCGTGTACGTGCGTGTGCGTGTGTGTGTGTGTGTGTGTGTCGTGTGTGTGTGTGTGTGTGTGTGTGTGTGTGTGTGTGTGTTATGTGTCGTTGTGCATGTTGGTGTGTGTGTGTGTGTGTGTGTGTGTGTGTGTGTGTGTGTGTGTGTGTGTGTGTGTGTGCGTGTAGGCACGATGCTTGCCATCAGGTGTATATCAGGTGTATATCAGGTGTATATCACACGTACGTGTTCTCATCGTTATCCGCCACCGTAGTCACGCCATCTATTATAATACTCTCTTATTTATTCTCTCACATTTATTCGATGCCTCCTGCTTTGATAATCGCTGGCAACAGCCGACAAGAGAAATTTACACTTCCAACGACTTTCCCATTCGCATGCGACCGCCAGCGGCTGCTGCTGCTGCTGCTGCTGCTGCTGCTGCTGCTGCTGCTGCTGCTGCAGATAATGGCATGCTATATGAAAACGTATTAACATCGGTATAATCAAAAGCGCATTAAGTGAATTATACTTATTACTATGTATGCATGCTTAATACGCTCTTGGTATAATGCTTCGCAGCGTTCGTATGTTGTCTGTATAATTATATGCCTCCTCCGATAACCTATATGGGGAAGTAGGTCGCTGAGACTATGTTCTAGTGAATCAGGGGCTCTTATATCACATCGAGCAATATCTCGTCAAGCTCATTCAATCTCATGTACAGCGAGTGTAATAGCTCAGCCGGGGCACAGAGCGTGGTGATGTATTTTTGGCGGGGATTCGGAGGGATCCGGTGCGTTGCTTTATTTTTGTTAGACAATAATTTGTTTTCAGGAATAGCAAAAAGTGCATTCGGTGATTAAGCGTAGAAATGACATCGTGCGCCTGGTGGTGGTGGTGGTGGGGGTGGTGGTGGTGGTGCTACTGCTGCTGCTGCTGCTGC